CCTAGTAGGCTTACGCTTTTTGACTCCTTGTAGGCTTACGCTTTTTGACTCCTTGTAGGCTTACGATTTTTGACTCCTTGTAGGCTTACGATTTTTGACCCCTTGTAGACCTGTGCTTTTTGACCCCCTTGTAGACTTACGCTTTTTGACCCCTTGTAGACTTACGCTTTTTGACCCCTTGTAGACTTACGCTTTTTGACCGATTGTTGATTTGCGCTTTTTGACCCCTTGTAGACTTACGCTTTTTGACCGATTGTTGATTTGCGCTTTTTGACTGATTGCTAACTTGCGCTTTTTGACCGATTGCTTACTTGCGCTTTTTGACCGATTGAACCCCTTGTAGACTTACGCTTTTTGACCCCTTGTAGACTTACGCTTTTTGACCGATTGTTGATTTGCGCTTTTTGACCCCTTGTAGACTTACGCTTTTTGACCGATTGTTGATTTGCGCTTTTTGACTGATTGCTAACTTGCGCTTTTTGACCGATTGCTTACTTGCGCTTTTTGACCGATTGCTGACTTGCGCTTTTTGACCGATTGCTGACTTGCGCTTTTTGACAATTGATGACTTGCGCTTTTTGACCGATTGATGACTTGCGCTTTTTGACCGATTGCTGACTTGTGCTTTTTGACCCCTTGTACACTTGTGCTTTTTGACCCCTTGTACACTTGTGCTTTTTGACCCCTTGTACACTTATGCTTTTTGACCCCTTGTACACTTATGCTTTTTGACCCCTTGTACACAATAGCCAATAGCAGGTTGGCTATTGCACCCGCCCACTGCTGCTGTCAATCAGCAGAGGTGGACCTGAAGTTCTCCTTCAGGTCCTCCTCTGCTGATTGACAGCAGCAGTGTGCAAGTGCAATAGCCAGCTTGCTATTGCAAAATGAAATAGCAAATAGCAGCCTAGCTATTCATTCCCATGCTATCTGTTTTTTTTTTAATTATTATTCTGACAGCGGCCGCTGTTAAAATAAAAAAACAGAAAGGGCACTTCCCTGAAATGAGAAGGGCACCTCCCTGAAATAAAGTTTTGCAGGTTGGGATGTCTGTATATGTACATGAGGCAACCAATATTTGATTAGTACATATGCAAGCTCTGCTTCCTGCTTAGTTGTGCTTTACAATGTCTGTGCCCTGCTGAACCACTTATCTAAGTGCTAATCTGTATGTCTGGCTGAAAATGGTTGACTCTCTACGGTCTCTAATGATTTGAAACAATCACAATCTTTTTAGTAGTCAGGGACCTGAACTTTCTCTGCTACAGTTTCCCTTTCACTCACAGCCCCGCACCACCTGTGGCTGGACTCTGCTCTCTGCTCCTATCCGCATGCTCTTTGCAAATTCATTACACCCAGTTAGCTCCTACTGCTGTATCTTGCTTCTCCCTCATCCCCTCAGAGCACTACCGTACAGACTGCACAGTAGGCTACAAACAGTTAATAGTACTTACACTTTCAAAAAATACATTAAAACTATATTTTAATGGTGTATGAATGATTACAGAGTTGCAGTGATGTGTGTCTTTAATATCTGCCCAGAGTTCAGCTTCCAGCAATATTTTTAGAAATGTTTGAAGTTGGTTAGGATTGGGAATCGTCAGGGCACTGTAAAAAGGTTTGAGAACTGCTGCTCTTGAGAACAATGGATAAGATAAATGTTATTGCATATTGGACATTTCTTTTTGGCCTTGTAAAAGTGAACCTGCGAGCACAGAATTTTGGGGGCTGAGTTTTAAAAGTGCAAGCTAACAGGCTATTGTCCTGAGCATAGCTTCACTACCTAGTGAGTCACCAACCCCGGAACAAGCATGCAGTTAGTAACTTCTGAAAAGGCTGCATAATGGTCCAGGTCAATGGCTGCTTAGCTTGCACCTTTAAAATCAAGTTACCATTGGTAGATACCGTTTCTCTCTCATGCATGTGATTTGTGATGCATTTCATTGATAAAAATGAAGCATGTAAAAACCACTGACATGGTCAAAGGCAACCACAGAAATATTTGTTTTTGTTTTTTTTTACCTGACACTGGAAGACTGACAGTTGGACAGTGATGTATTATATTACCATGGGAGACACAAAATTATAACTGCAAGTATAACAGTATCTGAATGTGCAAAGGTCTGCTTGCAATGTTCGATACAATGTAAACATATACACCATTATTATAAATGCACTATAATATAAATACTACCACTACTGCTACTATTTATGATGATAATAATAATACATTATGGCACCTTTATTGCTGAGAAGTGCAGCTTTGCCATGCCCTGTAAGACTTTACTCACTCCACCCTTCCTGTGTCTTTCCACTTTGCTGTCTGTGAACAACGCCTAAATTGAAAAACAGGAAACCTCAGAGCCACGTGCTGCTTAATGTACCAACAAGGCATTTGATGTGTACCTGTATAGCACAGTGTTTTTCTACAAAGTATTCTTCAGAATCTGCAGTGCCCTCTGTATAGCAGTAAGGAGATTGTGGCATCCTAAGTATGGTTCGCATGCCAATTTTTTAATGCTGATGTTCGTCCTGGTTATCTGTATAGCTGTGTCCACCCTCGAGTGGCATGTTGAAATGTTTAAATCTTTCCCCATTCTGTCCAAAACAAAATAAGGCAAGGGGTACACTGATAGAAGAAGAAAGCAGAGTGATAGCGAAATGACCTCATCGGTCTGCTGCTGCTCCCTTATTATCCATTTACAAGCTGGGGGCAGTATGGTGACCAGGCTGTGCTGCTTAGCTGAAAAAAAGAACGTCAGGTCACCATTCTGGCTCTATTGTATACCTGGGGTGGGTAAATCTCAAGTCTGAATGGACAGAAATACCTCCAGGCTTGCACCATGTCAGTGACATAAACTGCTACAGGGTCTTAATGACATCTAGCCTTTTTGGAAGGACATGCCAGCAATAGCAGCCTTCTTCTACCTCCCATGACAGGTTTCCTTTGAGGAAACCTCGGCATTTCCGTCAATTTGGGGAGATTTCCTTGCACTTCCTGTTATGTCTGGAGGACAGGAAGTTAAGGCAAGTCTCCCCAATGGGACACAGACACTTGACAAGGGTTTTAACTAGAGGTACACCGAAATGGAACTTTTAAAACCGAAACGAAACCGAAATAAAAAAAATTGTCACGCCGAAACCGATACCGAAATTTTTTTATTTAAATTTTTTTTTTTTTTATATTTAATTTGTATTAATTTTTTATAAACTTTTAAAAAAAATTAAACAGTGGTACCTTGGTTCACGAACTTAACATTACTTTTAGGGGCTTCGGGGAAATATTGGGGGTCTAATCAGACCCCTGATATTTCCCTTTTAAAATAGAAAAAAAGATTTAGGACACAAAGTCTTTTGCTGTGTCCCCTGTTATCAATGAACAGGAATCCTCTATGATTGTTCCGGTTCATTGATAACATGAGGTCATGGTATGTTTACTATACCTACAACTATGAATGAACAGGAGGTGATGTAGATTACTTCCCATTCATGCATAATTGAGGATTTGGTACACATACCATGTCCTCAATTATCTACATACACTCAGCGATCACTGATCGCTGAGTGTTTGTACTCGTCTCCTCCCTGACACGCTGTCACTGGAGGCTGAGCGAGCAGTGTAGGGAGGAGAGCTCAGCCTCCTGTGACAGCGCGGCCTGTCTCCGCTCACACACCGCTCTGACGGACGGTGATAGGAGGCTGAGCAGTGAGGAAGGAGAGACGCCGGCCGTTCACAGCGCTCTCTTCCCGCAGCTCTCGGCCGGCTGTCACTTTCTCTCGTCCCTGCTGGGACACAGAGCAGTGCCCAGCGGGGAGGAAAGAAACTTGGTACGCGCCGCTGTATCGGCAGGAAAATGGCACTTTCCGCATTATGCCAAAAGTGCCATTTGCGGCCGATATGTTTCGGCGCCCGATATATCGGTGCGTCCCTACTTTTAACCTCTTCTTACTCTATTTATAAATAAATAAAAAACGTAGGCTTAAGGCCTCATTCACACGACAATCGGCAGACACGTACAGCTCTGTGCGTCGTGCAGCTCCCGGGAAGGACAGGTGCGTGTGATTAGTATACAGCGCCCGGGCTTCTCTATGGGACTACACGGCCATACGCCCCCCTACGCTCACCTCAAGTGCAGATCCGTAGGGGTGCGTGTTTCCTGGCTCGGATGCAGACAGGATCCATCCTGTCAGCGTGCGAGTACGCTCACCCGGACGGACATGCAGGGTGAGCGTAGGGGGGCGTACGGCTGCGTAGTCCCATAGAGAAGGACGTGGGCTGCATACTAATCACATGCAGCACCTGTCCTTCCCGGGAGCTGCCAAGTACGGTTGTGCACGCAGCACGGAGCTGTACGTTCCGGCCAATTCCAGTGTGAATGAGCCCTTAGGTGTATTTTAATCTCTCACCTGACTATACTCATACAACCCCCATTCATGCTTTTTTTTTAGCACAGGGAATGCAAAAATGCAGCACAAGTGCAGCTGACTATGTATTTGAGTTAGAAATTAGATGTATTTGAGATCCCACCTGGAATGTTTTTGGATTTGTATAAAGTGACAGTCCTATACTGAAAGGGAACACATGTGGGTGCCATTTAATTTCTTTCTGAAAAATTATTTTGGCACAGGTAAATAATTATTTTCAATCAATTATACTGTTTTTATTAATGTCCTTATAAAATTCAAAATGATGCTGCATATACTACATATCCAACCTAAGACCAACAGCGCCTCAAAAATTAGGCATAGAATATATGAAACGGTGAAGCAAGGGAGATCAGTAATTATGGGGAGACGGTTGTACTAAGGGGGAACATAAATGAAATCTGGATATACACTCAGAAAATGTAAACATATAATTAAGCATAAATAGGAATTCTTTCTATAACTAGAAAATTGTAAACACCATGTACAATAAAGCACATTGCAGAAAACCTTTACATAAATGGTAACAATACTTGTTTCATGTTTTTCAGTCTCTGGTCCCAGATCGCCATGATGAACTGGACAACCAGCCAATGTTTGGAGTCAATGGCCAGGGGGAATTTTAACATTATTCTAGAGCATTACAATATGACTGGACGCCTAAGTGGCCGACCAAAGACAGGAGTTGTCTTGACCATACTCTTCATCTTCATCAGCTTTTTCATTATTTTGGAAAATTTTGTGGTGCTGCTGGCCCTGCTCAGGTATGAAAATGCAAAAAAGACTTTTGTTAAAAGGAACCTTAAACAGCCAAATAGATACATTAATTTAGATACATGTTTCCCAAAATATTAACCAACTAATACTAAGGGGTATATATATGAACGATTCCCTGGCAAATTCATCAGTGAATCTTTTATGTCAATTTGCCCTTCTGACATTTGACCATTTGGCCCGGCACATCATGCCCACATTCAATCAATTCATAACAGGGTAAATGTGCACCATGTGAATGTTGAATGTCACTTTTACTGTGAGCTGTAAGCCTGGCAAATTTGCCAAATTAGGCCCTCCATAGCATATATATGTGTTTTAAATGTGGATTAAATGTATTTGTTTTGTTTTGGTTTTTTTAGCCGCATGCCACCTTCACCTCTAGTAATAACCAGCCTAGCACACACCATGCATGCTAGATGCTATCCCAATAGCAAGAGGGCAAAAAACAACCTTTCACTTTTTTTATGTAATAGTCATGTTGTGATGGAAGTAACTAAAATCTTTGTCATTCTAAATTCCTTTGTCTTTCAGGTTTCTGCGCCTAAGACGATGGGTTCACTGCTGTTTAGCAAACATTGCATTCAGTGATCTTCTGGCTGGCATTTCATACCTGATTAACATTTGCCTCTCAGGTCCCACTACATTCCTCCTGAGCCCACAACTATGGTTTCTAAGGGAAGGCCTCCTCTTTACCACTCTAGCTGCCTCCACATTTAGCTTATTGGTAACTGCTGTGGAGAGGTACAGCACCATGGTGATTCCAATAACAGAGCGCGGCTCTGACAAGCTACTGCGTGTTCAGGCACTGATTATCTTATGCTGGGTATTGGCTGTTGCAGTTGGGTGTTTACCTTTGCTTGGTTGGAACTGCCTATGCCACATTGAGAATTGCTCCAGTCTTCTTCCTCTTTACTCTAGGAACTATATTGTATTTAGTCTTGGACTCTTAGGTGTTACCCTGCTTGGTATAATTGGCCTTTACTGCACAATTTACTACTTTGTGTGTACAAGTGCCAAAAGTGTTGCAGTCACCAGCCAGAGCCGACGCTCCTTCCACTTGCTCCAAACCGTTCTCATCATCTTGGGCTGTTTTGTCATCTGCTGGACCCCACTTTTTCTCTTCCTTTTGGTGGATTCTGCATGTTCTCCTCCTTCCTGCAAATCTCCCTTGGGACTTGAGTGGGTTTTGGCTTTAGCAGTTATGAACTCAGCTTTTAACCCACTTATTTATTCTCTGAGGAGCTCAGAGGTCCGTAAAGCAATACTGGCACTCCTATGCTGTGCCTGCACATGGGCAGGGGTGATACCACCTGCATGCTGCCAGCAAGTCACAGAAATCACTTCAGGTTCCTCAAATGAGAGCTCAGTTAAACGAAGAAGCAGTGTACGCCTTTCCCGAAACTTTAGCTTTAGAAGTCCTGTCACCAGTGTTTCCAGTGTGCCCAGTCAGTGAACAGGTTTTTTGACCAAATAAATCAATTTGTTTTACTAGTAACATATGACTGAAATGGCCATGCTGGTAAAGTATAACCACAGCAGTCTCAAATATGACAGTGGACACAACATCCAATCAGTCATTCACACAATGTGCAATGTGTTTTAGCTATACCAAAAGTAATTCATGATGATGGTCCAGACAAGTACCAAATCCAGTTACTATGTAATACACAAAACTCATATAGTAAACCGAAAACTTCTTTTACCTTCCCTGGTTGAATTAAATCCTCCCTCATTTGTGCATCACAAATCCTCCTACCAGACACTGCAGCTCACAGTGGGAAGGTTTCAGCAACAGAGGCAGTGCTGTCCATCCAGAAAGCAGTGGACAGGACTAGGTGTAGCCAAATGATGACTAACACGGTACAGACTTGTGAATCAACAGTGATAATGCTGGTAGCCACAACCCCTGCAGCATCTTCTCATTCCACTGAAGCACTAGCAGGAACAGCCTACATGAGAGTGAAAACTCTGCTTTGAATTAAGGAGCAGTACAGCATCATTGAATAAGATAAGTATTACACCTTATTCTACCGCTAGGCAAAACCGAGCATTTAACCCTTACAGTGCTGGTGGTGCTGCAAAGGTAGCTTTAAGTGCTGCAGGGCAAATTCTTTTAGATGGGAGGCCATAGTTTTACTTTAACAAAAGATACCAAAAGACCAATTTCAGCTAAAACATATATAGATTGGATAGATGAAAGAAAGGTTAGATCCTCTGTCTGGATTTGATTGCTGTTTGTCTCCCTGTTGGCAAGATTGACCCTCACTTCCTTCCTTACATTTCCAGAAAAATTTAATTGTATATTATATTTTTACAAATTTTCAGATACAAAGAGGATTTCCTCACATGCTGATTCCTAATGATTGAAATTTAAAGTGACTCTTTCATCTGAACAACCAAAAACAAGTAGCTGACAAATATGAAGATCAGGCACCTAATGTATCTGAGTTAGCTATCAGTAGCCCTGCTCTGCACAAATGCCAGGCCACCCTTATTGGGAAAGGTTTGGCACATCCTGATAGTCATTTTAAAGTGTAGCTCCACCTGGATTTTTGTGCTCCTCATTGAGTGCTAAGTGGGCGGTCTGCCTGCTATAATTACATGGTCAGTTTCAGTGTTGCCGCAAGAGACAAACTGCTGTACAAAAAACAGCCACGCAATTACATTCCTGAGATACTCTCTACTTATCTTCGTTTGCATTTTTGGTCAAAGTTTAATTACCTAATTACACCATTGTAGCAATGCTATATTTTATTAATTTTTTGAATGAAACAATACACGGTTTGATTCTTTCCAGGTGTTTACTAGGGATTAGCTCAGGTTCAGACCGAACCCAGTCTGAACCTGAGCTCCTCCGAACCCGAAAGGAGCCCCTCCTGAACACGGAAGGAAGCTCCTTCTGTGCTAACCAATCAGCTGCAGCCAGGGAATTCCCCACCCACAACTTTTCGTCAGCAAAGGGGTGGGATGCAGTCACTGGCGGAACTACCAGGGTTGCAGAGGTCGCAATTGCGACCGGGCCCTGGCATTCCGCCACTTGGGGGGGCCCAGTGAGGAAGCAGAGGGCGCCCCAAGATCGTGCCGCTCCTTCCCTACTGCACAGCCACCCGCAGCATGTACGGGCGGCTGCGCGGCGGGGATGGAGAGGCTGTCACCAGTCCCGCAGAATGTGCTGCATTCTGCTGTGTGATGACCCTCTCCTCTTAGCCCCGCCCCCTGACCGCCGAGACGAGGAAGAGGTCCCTACAGGAGAGTAAAGGTAAGTCTGGAGTGGGAAGGGGGGTGCAGGGAAGTGTGGGGGGGGGATGCTGGTGATATTCTGTAGTGCTGACTTTTATTATAATGTATTGCTGGGACTTGTAGTCCCGCATAGCTGGTGGTATTCTGCATTGCTGTATGATGATTATACAGCAATGCAGAATAGCACCAACTATGTAGGACTACAAGTCCCAGCAATGCAGGGATACAACAGTGCCAATACTGGGCATTTTCACGAGTACTCGTGAAAATGCCCCGATACTAAATGCAGATACCGGTGTTCTGTCGAGAACGCCGACGTAGTCCAATTTGCCGACCTCAGCATCTGCTCTTGCGCACAGACCAATATTATCGAGGAAACCGGGATTTATTCACAAAGTATTTCGTTTAAATCATTAATTGTGACCGCTAATAATATGCCACCCATATGCCATCCATCATTTACTGCCATCCATCATTTACTGCCATGGACGGCATATTATTAACAGTCACAATTAACCATTACAAAAACAAATACTTTGTAAATAAATGCCGGTTTCCTCGTTAATCTCGTCTGTACGTAAACGCAGATACTGGGTCGGCGTTCTCGACAGAACACCGGCACTAAAATTTTAAATAAGCGGCTGCCTAAGGTCCCGCACTTGCTGGATCTAACATTTTCATAATAGAAGAATTTGCTATGGGTACGTAATTATAACACAGCCTTTCTGTGTCTAGTACCCTGTAGAGAATTCTTCATAGTCAGCAGACAACCAGATTCACTCTAACCTGTTACTTCCTGCTGTCTGAGATTCCAGACAGCAGTAGGGGGCCCACTTCCTCTTAAAACAATACATGCATTTCAATTCCAGTCTCATGAATTTTACTTCCAGGTTTTATGCTTTCATCTCCCCCTCATGTCTTATGTTTCTGGTTTGCATGTGTTTTTCGATGCTCTGCCATTGAAAACAGTGAAGTGCGTGTCTACTGGGAACTGGAGGGGAAAATGCAGGCTGCATTTTCATAAGCTGTAACCAAGAGAATCCCAAAAATGGACTTTACCTTGCTGTTTTTGGGCAGCTTGGTTTCTTTCCAAAACACTGGCAAACTGCAACAGTGGGAACAAGCCTTGGACCTTGGCATAGGATGAAAGCTTGCCCATGTCCATCTAATGGCAAACTCTGATCTAGGTGGAGATGTTGTTTACTTTATTGACATCGTTCATTTAGTACTAGGTATTATTAGAAGCCAGATTCTCCAGAGGGAAAGTTTTGTGTTGTACACCAAACTAAGATGAAAATGTTCTGCTTGAATGTTTGTTATTTAGTACCAGTGCTCAGGTATGGGTTGTGTTATGAGAACTTTAACATATTCTTGCTATGTATTTATGTATATATGTAAAAATATACCTTGTAAACAGAGAATTATGTAATCCTGTGTTATTAGACAAGTTTTACATTTGATTCAGCAAGTCGCATTATATTAAAGCTCATGGGTAGTTCTATGTAATATAACATCCCATTGTATAGCAACTGGCATGGTGAAATATGTAATAAAAACATAAGTGTTACCCGTGTCATTATTTATAGTTGATATTTTCTTTTCAGTTTCTTTCTTTTTTTATTGAAAATGTCCAGAGACAAAGATATTAAAACATTAACATCTTTTAGTGTAGTATTACACTTTTGGTATTTAAATATTAGCTTTTCATACATATCTGTACATCAGACCAAAAAGAGGAACAACTGAGGAGGAAAGAGGGACAGAGGGATTTGGTTCCAAATGAGGGACAATCCCCCCAAATGAAGAACAGTTGGGAGGTATGCGGAGGGGTGAAGAGAAGCCGATTTGAGGGGACTGATCATGCAGCTGGGAGGAATGAAGTAAGTATACTTGCTTTTTATGTTCTTCCTAGACAAAATGAGCATGCTGGGGCTCCCTAGCACTGCAAGTGTCATTTTACCCCCCAGAGTTCAGCTTTAAACATGGTACATTTTCTGGATGGGCATGAATGTCCTGCATAGTGCATATTACACATGTACAAAGAAGGCTAGAGGTTGATGCACTGGGTTGATGTAAATTTTCAGCCCTCACCTAGGTTGAATGAGAACTATTGGGAGAGTAAAATGTACTCTTCCCAATACTTAGAGCTGGTGGGTGACACTGCAGCTGCCACATACCGGCTCTATAGATCAAGAACTGAGCAATCACGAACCACTGATCACTCAGCTCACAGTCTTCTCCTTGCTGAGAGCCGTGACTGTCAGTCATGGCTCCCCGCAGGTATCCTCCCTCCCCTCTACGTTCCCGCAGTGCCTTTTTGGCAGACAGGGGAGGGGGCAGGCACAGCTGGCTCCGGCTCCAGAGAGGCAGAACCAGCTGTCAATCAGGCAGTTGTTAATCAGACAAGATTGTTGTTGGAATCTTTCCTGGCTGTAGCAAGGCTCTGCACTTTCAGCAAATAGTGGGCAGTAGCCTGCTATTTATTGATTTTGGGTCACAGGAGTATATTAGTAAATGCCCTCCTGTGACCCAAAAAAGATCTAAAGGCAAAAAAAAAGGTTTGGCTATAGTTCTCATTTAAAATGTCACCATCACTGACAGAAACAGAAGGGGAAACATTTGTAGATAAAACTAGAAAGTTTTCATCAAATTCTACAGTAGGTACTTTGTTGCCCATATTTCCCAGACAGCTAGGGGTTGGAATTTTACCTTTTCATTATCATTAAAGCATAAGCATTAGTCATTATGTGCATAAATAAAATTGTTGGCTTTGGCTGATTAACACTCATTCTCATAGTTAGAGCCGCCCTGTGACAAAGAAGCTGTCACAGGTCGGCTCTATTGATTGGGAAGTGAACAGAAACATGCATCCGATCCGCTCACTTCCCGATCATCTCCCCGCAGCGATTTCCCCCTCCCCTCTTTGATCCCCCAGCGCTGAGTGGACATATGAACGGGGGAGGGGCAGGCAGAGCCAGCTGTCACTCCGCAGCTGGGTGGATCACGGCAGTATTGTCGGGATCCGTCCCGGCTGCGGTGCTCCTAGTATATCGCGGGCAATAGCCCACATTATACTGAGCTTTGGGTCACGAGCGGAGGTTAGCATATGTCCTCCCATGACCCTAAAGAGAACTATGGGGAAAAACACTTACCCCATAGTTCTCTTTTAAGGTATATATAAACCTAGTAGGAAAGCAGGAAGTTGCATATCGA